CGAAGAGGCCTGCAAGCTCCGAGCTTCCCGAAGGTACAACACCCGAGTAAAACCTCGCGCCTTCCGAGCAAGAGACTTAGTATGGCGATTACTGGGCGAAGCAAGAAAAGACACGTCAGATGGGAAACTCGCACCCACTTGGGGTGGCCCCTTCCGAGTCACAGAAGACTTGAAAAATGGAGCATACAGACTAGAAGAACTCAATGGAAAACCCATACCACGAACTTGGAATGCCACACATCTCAAAGTCTATTACAGTTGAACTCTGTACCAATGAGCCATGTACTCTTTAACAAGACATATATTCCCATCAATAAAATGACTCATTCCCCTTTTATTTACACTTTGCTCCTCCTGCTCACTTTCACTAGAGGTCGAGTACGAACCTCGGCGCAGGTCGAATACGAACCTCGCCACGCTTACAAGAGGTTGAGTACGAACCTCGGCGCAGGTCGAATACGAACCTCGCCACGCTTACAAGAGGTCGAATACGAACCTTGACGCACCCACAACAGGTCGAGTACGAACCTCGACGCGGGTCGAATACGAACCTCGCCACACTTACAAGAGGTCGAATACGAACCTCGGTGCGCTCACTATAGGTCGAATACGAACCTTGACGCACCCACAACAGGTCGAGTACGAACCTCGGCGCGGGTCGAATACGAACCTCGCCACACTTACAAGAGGTCGAATACGAACCTCGGTGCGCTCACTATAGGTCGAATACGAACCTTGACGCACCCACAAGAGGTCGAGTACGAACCTCGGCGCAGGTCGAATACGAACCTCGCCGCACGATTACAAAAGGTCGAGTACGAACCTCATCGCGCTTATCAGAAGTCGAGAACAACATGAGTACGAACTACAACGTGTTCACTAACATACGAGCGTCGTCATGTTTACCAAAGGCCGAAAAGCCGACCTGAGCACGATTGTCCAAAACTAATCTCGAATTACGACATTACTACTTTAAAGTAAATTCGAACCCTCACAACACGCCACCAAACAAAAAATGAGGTCAACTCCGAATCTCAAAGCTAGGAGCAGGAGAGGGCACGTATATACAAAATAAACATGTTCAAAACACGAGTACAAGTATGAAAAAACAGGCAAAATTAGCCTACACAGAGGCATTATCGCTAGAACTATCCTCGACGTCATCTTCCCCGACCAGCTTTCCGAAGCGAACAACCTTTTCCACATGCATGCTGGAAAAGTCGAACCCGGGCGCGAGGAGTCTAGCTTGGCGAGCAGCCTCTTGGAAACCCCTCCTATGCTCCACCACAACGAAACGCTCAACTTCCTCAAGCCTCCTCCTGAGTGAAGCATTCTCAGCCTCCAGCGCCGAGAAGGCTTTCCGCTGAGCTGATATCTCCGCTTCACGGGTGCCAAGGACGACCTCGTCGCGAAGACGCTCCTCAGTCATTGACACCAGCTCGCTCTTCAAAAACGATACCTCATCCTCTAAAGAGCGAACTCGGCCCACATAATCCTCATTGGAGCCCTGAGCCTCAGCAAGATCTCCCCTTACCGATTGAAGCTCGGCACCTTGCAGCTTCGCCTCACTCAGAGTCGAGTTCAGAATGCTATTCTCTTCTCTCAAAACCTTGTTCTCCTCGCTCAAGGTTTGAACTCGACTCTTCAGCACCGCAACATCCCCTTGCTGCTTGGACCACTTGTGCTTCCAATAATCCATAACGGTCATGCCCCTTTGCAAGAAGAGTTGAGCAGCATCAAAGCTCCCTACCGGCCCGGCTGACTCGATCAACGCCTGGTCAGCCGTGCTCAGGGACCCTTTGGGAAAAATCTTTTCCGGAGTCGCGGCGGCACTCCACAGTGAGTCGACTTCCTTTGACGCGCTCAGATGCTCCAGCCGCGTAGATGCACCCTCCCGGGCATAGCGATAGGCGACGTACGGACATTTTGGAGGTCCCTTTGCCACCGGAGCGGACGTCGGAACCTCGGAACTGGGAACCTGGCCGCAAACGCCAACCGGCGCAGATGCGGAGGTCCCCGACCCCGCGCCAGAAACACCAACCCTGCCTGCCTACAAAAAGAAAAAAAAAAAAAAGAACAAGAGACATAAAGCTCAACAAAAAAAAAAGCAGAAGAGGAAGAGAAGGGGAGATCAAGATCACGAATACGCGCCACCTACCGCGGAAGCTCGGCCAGCCGAAGTCGCGACCGAAGCCATCGCCCCGGAGGTTGGCACATCCTGCCCGGCGGCCCGAGAAGCTGTCTCGGCAACAACTCCCACCTATAACCGACAATCCCAACTCAGAAAATCGAGGAATAACATGAGGAAAGGGAATAGCTGGGCAGGACGCTTACCAAGGTGGTCTTAGCCACTCGCTCGCTAGCTCGGACAGATACCCCGACAGGCCGGGCTGAAAGCCCACTGACTGGCGGCACCCCGCCAACAGCCGCCTGAGTTCTCCCCTCAGGCGAAGAACTCCCAGTCAAATCGACTGCCTCAGCAGCCACAGCGTGGGAAGTAACCCCCTCCGCCCTGCAAGAAGCAGAGGCTCCCGGCTCATCCTTCTTTCTTTTTCGGTTCAGCTTCAAGGGGGAAACTTCCTCCTCAGAAGGTTCAGGAGCCTCGATGATGGAAGGTGGCTTAGTTCCATGCACGCCCTTGATCTGAAATGGCCAAGGTCGAGAGTGTCTTTAAATCTTTCTTGGAGGTTAACTCGGTTTGGAGGACACATAGGGTTTGCGACCCCTCTATCTCCCAACTGATTCATTTGGAGCCCTGTCCGGCCGGAGATTGTGTATTCATGGGGGAGTCTACCGGCTCACCCCACTTTTATGTGTATCAGTGCTTTTTCAGGGACCTGGGCATTCGTCTTCCCTTCACTCAGTTCGAGTGCAACTTTTTGAACTATATTAATGCCACTCCCAGCCAGTTGCATCCCAATAGTTGGGGTTTTCTGAGGGCGTTTCAAGTTCTCTGTACAGTGCTAGGGATAGAGGTGTCTCTTCGTGTTTTCCTCAGCTTCTATCAGTTAAAGTCGGGTGCTCCGCCTTATGGCGTTCTTTCTTTGAATGGGGGTAAAGATGGGGGTTTGTTTACCCTTTACTCCCAATCTTACAAGAATTACAAGCAGGAGTTTTTCCGAATTGCTCTTGTTGGTGTTGACCCATCTGAGGATGGTGTGTTCTACTTCGGTGGGCTGCCGAAGTTTCCTTTTTATTGGTGTCCCGACCCGTCTGGGTTCAACGGGGTGGATCCTTCGCAGTTGACGGCTTCGGAGG